TTTCAGATTGAGTTTAGATTCAGTTATAATCGTATTATTTATCAACTTTTAAAACTATAAACTATGAAAACTCATGAATAAATTCATTTATTTCATATCAGAAAGTTATTGATTTATAATTATTTTTTAACCACAATTGAGTTTTTTTATGATTGCCACTAATTAATCAATATATTCTGTTCTATAAATTATTTATGTTAGTGACTACAGTTATATCAGAATATATGATTGCCAACGAAATCGAGCATAATAAATATTATAAAGTTTTTGTAAGTGCACGATTAGTTATTGATTTATAATTAGCCAGAAACTATTTTATGTAGATATTTAAAATATAAGTTATTAAAAAATATATTTAAGTTCCGATTAACTTTAAAAATATATTCTGCATATTATTAGTATATCATTCGTTGGTAATATTTTTATAACTATAATGTGATTCAATGATTTTGAAAATATTATGTTGAATTATATATGTTGAAATCAATTTAATGTACAGGGTGATTCTCACGATTGTCAGGGTTATCCATTTTTAATTGCTATTAAAATATAATAACAAACAATGAGCTAGAATTTGTAAAATATTTAAACATGTTATGTTAAACCTATTATGAACGTTTTTTTTTAAATTTAGCTTAAACATAAAAAAGCATTAAACTTAAACCAATTAAAATTAAATTAGTACAAATTCCAACACGATCATTTAACTTTTTTTTAGCAACAAAAACTTTATCCATAACCGTATGTATAGCATGAAAGTGAATGTATTGAATGGCAATACAATTGATTGATAACTCAATGCAAACACTTGTCTCTGGAAACAGCAGAACGTAAGGCATATGTGTTTTGCTGTAAAGCCTTTCAATACATATACAGTAAGTGTATAAAAGAAACACTTTTAAAAATACAATTAATTAAAGTTAAATTTAATTTTAAAAAACAGTTATATTTTGTTTAAATTAATTGATAGGAACAGTAAATGTTAGTGCATTCATAAAGTAATGCCTGTGCAGCCAAGCGCACAGTGTCTGTGCTAAAACTACCTGTGCCATCAAATATTGATGCTCGACACGAGCCGTGCAGTGTTGCCCACCTTTAATAGCATGCATAGTGTGTACACATAGAGCCCCTGTACTGTTAAAGTCCATTACAGACAACTCTCGCTATTAAGAAAGTGATACAAAAACAAAAGTTTCAATCATTTGTTATGTGCAGTAATCGTGAAAAAAACATTAATATTTCTCATTTATCACAGCAATGCTATTGCTATGGGATTCACGCTATGAATGAATGTCATAATAACTACAGTACATTATAAGCGAGTGTTAGTGACTATCAGTGAGAGTGAGTCTCTGGTATGCAATACACAGTACAGTACAGTATAGCCAACGCTACACATAAGGCGTGAGTGAATGTGTCAGCGGTTTTGCGAACACACAGTAATACTGTTGTGTATGTATTGACAGTACAGTGAAGTGTACTGAATATACAGCACCAAAAAAAACACACATTTATCATATAAAACACATATTCAACACATTTATCATTAATTATTGCATTAAAATAATGAGTGAAAACCAATTGAGAGTCAGATTTATATCAAATAACAGCAAAACATCGCATAATAAACGCAACGCTATGTTCAACACGAGTAGTCACGTGACCACCGATGACAACACCACTACCACCACAGCTGACGAGCGCCACAACCATCGCCACCGACGACAACGACCACACACTGGCCGTAGACAACAGCCAATGAGACGCCAGTACGACGACGAGGAGGTGGAGGAAGGGGTGGACGACGTGGACGTGACGGACGATCGCAATCACATCCCTGTCGACGGCAGCGATGATGACGACGACGAGGAGGAAGGGCTGGAGGGCGAGGACAGGGATGCGCCCGAAAAGAGGTTCACAACCAATGATAGGCGCGATATCATTGAGCTGTTGTACTCGGAGGACGTGATCAAGTATTCAAAGGCCAACACTAGCGGTGCTGCCGGTGGTGTCGGTGTCAGTGCCGGTGATCATCACCGCAACCATCAGTACCTCTCCTACAGCGATGACGAGTCCGCTGACGATGGCATCGGCGGTGACGACACCAGACGTCTGATGCATTCGTACGCCAACGACCGGAAGCCACTGCTGGACGGCTCGTCGCCCGGAACCGCTCTCAAGAAGTTCGCGCATAACAAACGCCAGACCCGCGCCTATAAGACAGACCTTCCGTACCATTCGTTTGACGCCGACGACGATGAGGACGACGAAGAGGGCGCCATCACTGGTCACAAGACCTCCTCATCCTCTGCTACCTCTCCCTATGACGAGACACTATTGTCGCTGTATTTTCAAGTGTTTGTGCCGTTTCTGATCGCCGGCTTCGGCACAGTTGGCGCCGGACTCGTCTTGGATTACGTCCAGGTATTGGCCGCCGTTTCAAAGCTGATCCAATTGTCTTTGTGGCACTTTTTGCTACAGTTTTTAAACTAAACATATGTTTCGTTTTACTCATTCATATAGTGTTTTTGTATTTGTTTTCATTTGATCCCAATATCTCTATAGCATTGGGAAGTGTTTAAACAAGTGACCGAAGTGTTCATATTAGTGCCGGCGCTGTTGGGCCTCAAGGGTAACCTCGAGATGACACTCGCCTCCAGACTGTCCACTCAGGCCAACTTGGGTCGCATCGACTCCGGCCGCGAGCAATGGCTCATCGCGTCCGGCAATATAGCCCTCATTCAGGTATGGATTAGTTTATTGGACGATAATGTTGTGGTCACTAATTGATCCGTGTATTTGCGTCATTAGTGTCAGGCAACTATTGTGGCCTTTTTAGCCGCCATATTCGCCATAACCATGGATTGGCTGCCCGAAGGCGAGTTCAACTTCTCGCACGCCATACTTCTGTGCGCGTCCAGTCTCTTGACGGCCAGTATCGCCAGTTTCCTACTCGGTATCAACACTTTTACCACTTTGTGTTATCACTAATAGTCGTGTGTCTTATCAATCACTTTCACTCTCTGTCTGTCTCTTACTGTTTGTTTGTTTTGATAAACCTCTTGACCCACTGTTTATCGGATCAATTGATACATTGATTTCTTATAATGTATTTCTTTGTGCTATTATCTCGTGTTTATCCAAACAATTATTTTTAAGTAATTTATTAAATAATCTAATCGTTTGTTTATTTGTATCCAATGTTTAGGTTTATTGATGATAGTAGTGGTGATTGTGTCCCATAAATGCCATATAAATCCCGGTATTTATCATAAAAACCATATGATTTGAATGTAAACACAAATTAAAGTCTGGGTTTTTTTTGTTCCGGTTTATACCACAATCACAACCATAACAACTATTAATGGTGACCACCGATGACTGTCTACAGATAATGTGGCCACACCTATAGCTGCATCACTGGGCGATTTGACCACATTAGCCCTATTCGCACAATTCAGTGATATTTTGTATTATACCGTCGGTAATGACCAAAATATACAATTAATATAAATTGGTATATGTTTTAGACTAAAGTCTTAATTTGATTTCTTATTTTCAGACACTAATCCATGGCTGAGTTGTATGGTGTGCGTCGTATTCCTCCTATTAGTGCCCGTTTGGTGTTATATCGCCAAAAACAACAAATACACGCGAGAAGTGCTGTATAACGGCTGGACGCCAGTCATCAGCGCAATGGCCATATCCAGGTATGTGTGCTCACCGGTGCCATCACCCGGTGCTCTTGTATTTGAATTTCATAGTGTATATGTTTAACCCAATTATCTGTTCAAATGGTTAGCATCGGTGGCTGTATACTAGACTTTGCCGTTTCCCGATTCAAAGGCATCGCTGTCTTCCAACCAGTAATCAATGGTAATTATAACCCATTCTTCCGGTTCTGGAGGACCTGTTGTTGTGTTGTGTTTCTAATAATATGTGTATTTGTTTTTGTTTTGTGCCGATCGGTAGGTGTGGGCGGAAATCTGGTGGCCGTTCAGGTGATTAGCATTTGATTATGATTTTGTATGCGATAGTGTTTCTTATGGTATTGTCTTGTTTTGTGTCCACACTTTTAAGGCGAGCAGAATATCCACTCATTTGCATAAGACATGCAAATTAGGAGTTTTGCCAAAAAACAACTCCAAACTGTGTTTCAATCCGTGCGCCGCCTTTTTCAGCAAAAGTTTGTATCACTTTTTCATTACTGTTTAATGTCTACTGATTTGATTTGATTTGTATTTTTATACACATAATCAGCATAAAAGTGATGGTCTTATCACAGCGTTTGGCAATAAAAATATACAAACGTTTACATAATTTAATCACTTTTTCTTAATTATAATCAAATGAGTGACACATCAGCTTAATGTGTTATAAAAATTGTGTGATTTATAGCCGCTTTTTAATCTGATTTTAACTAATTTTTTTATCTGCTTTTTATTTGATTGGACAGCAATACACGCCCGAACCGCTCGCGTACTGCTAATGATGGTAATCCCGGGTCACCTGATCTTCACGTACGGCATACGATTCCTGAAGGCCGGCCACACGTCCGTCACGTTTCACTTTCTGGTCATCTATTTGTTGGCCGCATTGATTCAAGTGATTCTTCTGCTATACTTTGCCCACACGATGGTGTTGTGGATGTGGAAGAAGTCTATCGATCCCGGTATGAATTGTCTACTCCCTAACACTCCCTTTCTCCCCCCCCCCACCATAACCTCCCAGTGCGTCGAGAGTAGTATTTTTTAAATGCTATCCAACACTTGAAAACAGATAGTATTTTGCTGTCGATTGCAGTTTGAGTTTTAAAGTTTTATTTCGCAAACACTAAGCATTTTTTGTTGAATACTTTGCAAATTATTTAAGGTTTGAATATTAAACAGGGTTTCTGGTCACTAATATTGGGGGTTAGTTGCTGTGAAAGTCTCTCTCTCTCTCTCTCTCTCTCTTTGTTTTTTTTGTGGTTTTTACGGGGGTTTCCATTATAAGAGATCCAGACTTTTGTTATATAATGTTTACAAACGGTTAATGATTTGTATTGTGTTGTACTGACAGACAACTCGGCCATCCCTTACTTGACGGCGTTGGGCGACCTCTTGGGCACCGCTCTGTTGGCGATGGCTTTCGTAATACTCTTCTCGATCGGCGATAAAGACTCGGATGTCGGCGATTGATGTCCAGCGGAGAGAGTGATAGCCATTAGTTTTTTGAATTGAAATTTAGCCGAGAATTTGCATTACATTTGAATATACATCAGAATCTCGAGGCCTTTTTCACCGAGATTTGGTTGGCATTTGAATTTACCATTGAATTAACACGTGATTCATGTGATCATGGTGGTTAGTTTTCACGTTATTTAATATAGTTTTTTAATTAATTGATTATTGAAATAGTTTTTTATTTATTTGTAAATATTTATTATAATTATTGTATAAAATGACTATAGAATTAAAAGCAACACTTTTTTTAATCACTTGTTTTTTATATAAAAATGAGAATTTTATGAAATCCATTGTATTGTTGTGTGAATTATATAAAATTGTTTAATTAAATTGATTATTAATAAATACATGCAATTATGCTTTTTGATAATTTTAATTGGCCAATAATTTACCATAATACAGAATATTTGAACTAAACTAGCAGAAATGATTAAATTTAAAGTGATAGATCCAATATCTTAATTGATAATCCTACCATCAATACAATCCACTAATTCATTAAATAATGAAAATGTAATCATTAATACAATAATGAAATGTTTGACAGATTTGATAAATACCTGGAAATACGTGAATTGATTGACGAGAAATAGATTTCCACAATAATAGCCGACTCTATAATCAGATGTCTTTTCAATCAGTGTTTGTAACTATAATTAAATTAAATAAGATATTAATGTAAAAATTATTTATAAAGTTTATATTAGTTAAAGAAAATACTTTTATCATATTTCTCGTCGAAACTATTGTATTAAATCTGAAAACAGTGTTTAGTTTAAGCAATAATTTGTATGAATTCTTGGATTCTGTGTTAACACTACTCGAGAATAGTATTAATGTTGTCATTACAGTCAACGCACCAATGATTGCAAATATATAAATAAATTGTAAAAAATAATTATCCCGTGCATAAAATACATAAAGTACCAAGATTGAAATCAATGTTGTAATAAAAATCCAGTTGCTCAATATAAACGACGACCAAATTTTATTAAAAACACTTAATTTACTGTTTAAATAATTAAATTCTTTGCTAAATTCCGATAATAGGTTAATATTTCTACTATTATAACTAGCTAATAATTTTTTAATACAATTATTTTGTATTAAAACTAATGTTTTTGAATGCAAACAACAAGTGATAAAATGAAAGAAAAACCACAGATAGATATTTGCCACATATATGTAAAACATTCCTAAACATAAACTCCACAAAAATCCGATTGTAATTAATTGGACAAAACTTAGATTCATTGCAAACGAAACAAATGATAGATTGAATCCATAGGCAAAGAAAAACCATGTGATGTATATTTTTGTACATTTAAAACACATTAACTGTTTGTTAGTTAACAGTTCTCTAAATGTTTGCAATTTAAATATATTTAAACACTGTTTGTTGGCATAGATTTTAAAATTTAACAATTGAATAGACATTAACCAAATACATAAAATTATGAAAAATATATTTTTTTGAATTTTAAATTTCCATTTGAAGGCAAATTCACCCAAAATTATCAAATAATAGTCTTGTGTTATAAATATAGACAATATTTCTCTTATGAGCACAAAAACAATGACAATATTAATGAGAATCGGATTAAAAAGTTGTGATCTTTGCTTATAATTGGGATTCAATTTTTGTAAACCACTTCTATATGTCTTTTCTCCGATTAAATAAATTAAATCCTCTAATAATTGCACTCTTTTTAAATAAATTGTATTTTTATTATCAATTGATGTCATTATTACTGTATTTAGCATAAATTATTATTAACTTGTTAAACTTATTATTAATAATATATTTTATAACATTATCAAAAATAAAATGTACCATCAAACGTTTATACTATCAATACAAATATTTTAGTTATACAACAAAATAACAATATCTCAAACAATTTTCTAAGTTATTGACAACTTATGCACATTTCAACATAATATTCGGTCAATTTTGTTTAAAAACTCAATATAAACCACATATCATAATAGGCTATAAAAATGTCATTTTATTTTTAAATATATAATTTATAATAAAGTTGTACATCTATTATCTTAATATTTAAAACATTATACTGTAAATGACATTATTTCTCAATTAATTATTTAATATATTAAACATTTTGACAGCCAGTTTTACGTAATATGTATTTTATTATATACGTACTATGTAACTTTAAGTTATATACTTTATACATATACACTTATAAATCATTTAAAAAAACAATAAGTTATATAAAAATAAATCACAATTTATAGTTTTATAATTATTTAGCGTAACTTACGTTTGAATTTCTATATCTTGATATTTTAGTTATAATAAAGTGTATTGTTTTGTTGATTGTTTTGATTTTATAATAATCAAGTTTAGTTTATACATTTTTGTAATAAAAGGTGCATACTGTATCTTAAAATATAAACAAGGATCACAAAGAGCTCTTATACGTTAACCACAATTCGAGAAATGCAATAAAATTTCAAATTTATTAATGTTATTAAATCCTATTTATTAGGATACCTTCAATTTTGAGCATTTCAGGTATTTTTAATAACAATTAGTTTTATTCAAATTGTTTGAGGGCTTGATATATAGAATTTCAATTGTATTTAAATCTTATGTATTTTGTTAAATATTGTACTAATACTTTAAAAGTTCCTTATAATGAAAAATTATATTAATAATTAAATATATTTAGTACTATAATACAGTTAATGTAAACTTAAATACGATCCACTAATTTCTTAATTTATTTGATTATATGCACGTAAATGAATACAAGATTATTACAAAATCATTATAACTAACTATAGATAATTGTTAATTTAATAATTATCAGTTGAATTAATGTCTAAATAATCTTATATTTATTTTATAGCATACCTTATAATAAATTTATTTTTATTTTAATCATAATTATTTTTCAATCAAATAGTGTTTTAATCATTTTTGTTAAATTACTTTATAAATTATAATTGAATATATGACTACTTTTATACAATTGTAACAAACATTACAGATTATTAAAATTTTTAATATATTTTTTAATCAATCGTATCATTCATTTAAATATTTCTACATTTGATAAATATATTCATTGCTTTAAAATTAATTTTTAAATAAATTGTGACATAATTTGAATGAATTAACAATTGATAGAAATGAATGAAAAGTCCCCTAAAGTTGTCAACAAAAGTGAAGGCATTTTCACTTAATGTTTTCACTTATCGTTTATTTTGATTAAGAGTTTTAAATGTAAACAAAATTTATAAATTGTTTATAAAATTATGGTTTTATTGAGAGATAAAAAGTCATT